ATCTCAAAACTGCAACATAGAAAGATTTCAGGCCACAGCCTCATATACTTCTTTCCACCACTACATGCCAAATGTTGTAAAGTCACACCATATAGCCAGGCAAGTCTTGTGACATAACTTAAGATCAAACAACCCTGATACCGGAAACGATAAATGTTAGCCACCACTTCACGTTTACTGAAGCCAATGCTTGTTATAAAAGTCTAATATTGGCTTTATAAGTTAAGAAACCAGTTCCACACCCTACTCATAAACTTTGAGATGTTCTGCTATTCTGCAGGTCTGACTCATTGCAAAACTTAAAAAAACGTAATCACAAGAGCCTGCATCTAGAGACTAAAACTGTGTAAGCATGAAATTGATGGCGTTTTCGCTAAACAGAAAGCAGCATAAAATGTAGAAGAATTTAACATTGGTTACATTGATAGGAGGAAAAATGTCCGTCTATTTGAGGGATTTTTGCAAATAACTCTTGGGCATGTGATGTTGCAATAGGAGGAGGAAATCTTACAGTGAAGAGTCTTACGTTAACAGGCGTTTCACCTAAAGGAGCCCAAAGGCATTTATCACAGACAGGCCAACACGTGAAGCAAAACAATCACAGTGAGTAAAACAAAGCCCCTTTCATTCCCAGGGGCCCTTGACTAAAAAGGATTTCTAGAGGAGACCAATTTGACGCCCACTAATTACAGCCCACCACTGACCAAACTTAAAAATGACTCACTGTTTGTAGAATGACTGACAGCACTGCAAAAGATTATAATACTTTATCATAAAATATATGGAAATATAAGCAGATACACAAATATAGCAATATGTACAAAAATGCATTGCTCAATTTGGCTCTCGGAATACTAACTGTCTCATCTTTCGAAACACCCAGATAGACACATTGCAGCCATGGGACATCCTGTCTGCCCTTACTCAATGTTACAGACAGTGAGACATCACATGCCGACATGCTGTCAGACGTTAAGAAATGCCCTAGAAATCAGTGAGTATGTTTGTGACCTTTCCCTGCAGCATATCAGATCAGAACAGAAACAGAAACGATTCCAGGATCCCTCTCTCTCTCGGACATGACACAAATCGGCCTTTATACCCCAAACTCCCAATCAAGCTGAGATCACTGGCTTACTCTGTGCTCTTGCATTTTTTTTGCCCTTTCTTTGAAAAAGCCAAAGACACTTATGAGGAAATGGAACTGAATTGTTTGTACTTTTTCAAGCAAAGGATTACAGTAAAGTACAATGGATCCGATCCAATATACCACCCCCATATAATGCAACTGGCCAGTTGCCAGCTGGAACAAACGACCAAGTTCATTATCTCACTAGATTTTATGGTAGGAAATTTAGGTACACCGCAGACACTCAACATCCAAATAGGGTTTTTTCTGTTTGTTTTGTTTTAGTCTGGTGAGCTGAGCTGTGTCAGTTCGTATGTTAAATATTTAACCACAGCTGCTTCTAAACAGCACAATAGTCCATCTAATTAGTCTGCAGTGTTCTCCAACAAAAAATATTAAAAGGCATCACACCTTTAGAGGAGCTGTGAATGCTGTTCCTAAGATCACGCACAAATAAAAAAAAAACTACACAGAAAAACAAAGGCAACAAATGATGATCCAATATCAAGTGTATTTGACTTTCTTTATCACACAGCAGGGTCTTTGAGAATAAGCAAGACTTTCACGTATCCCTTCAATGTGGGCAACGCTGAAAAAAAGTGGCCTTTCCTCAATGAAAATAGAAATTCCAATAAAATAATCTGTAAACCCGTCAGATAACCGTGGCTTTAAAGGAGAAACAAACTTTAGGAATAAAATTGAATTGGGACAAACAGACTTGTCATTTCACAGATGCAGATGGGACATTAACTCCCCCAGTTATGCCCCTGCACTAAGACTCGAATGTAGGATATATAACACAGTGCCACAGGACCCTTAACCTGATTCCTTAACCCCTGTAACAAAATAACTCCAATGACTTCTGGCCTAGAACAGAAGCCCCACTCCTCTTGCTGTGGGAATTTGGAATTCCTGTTTGTAAACATTTACATTTTGTTTGTATGACAGACCACCGAGTGCTCTGCCACCATCACACCCCCTAGTACTCATTTCCCAAAAGCAGAAGTAGTGAGGGGGAGAGGAGGGGAGAGGGGAGATGAGATGGGGGGGTGTTGTGGGGGGGGGAGGGAGTCAGTGAATGTGAACCATTGTTAGAGCATATTATGTTTCGACCACAATACTCCTATCCCTGCTTCATCAACTCCATTCAAGTGTAACAGTTCATGCAAATGAATGTGCTTGCCTTTCATTAGAAAGGGGGGGGGGGGGGGGTCTTTATTTGATTGGTTTTATTTTGGGGAGGAGGGAAAAGCACTCTGCCCTGATCCCACTACCCACCCCTGTTCACAGACTTAATCCCCCTCTAACCCTGCAGATACAATTGGACTTCTGTCCTCAAGCTGGTAGCAGAGAGCTCAATGTAAAAGTCAGGGTTACATGGGCAACAAAGCAGTTAGAAGCTAAATAGATGTGAAGATGTGAGGGAGAAGTCCCATACTATGTGTTTGTGTTGTGTGCTGGGATGTGAAGTACAGCCAAGAATTCAACGGCCAACATACACGACACTGTTTATCCGGGTATCTCCCATTCCAAATGAAACAAAAGCATTCTCAAAGAAATTAGCATTGCAAACTAGAAAATGTTGATTGTGTGAATACACTGAACACAAGAAAGATGCTAGGTATTGCTTCTGCTTTAAGAAAAAACTTATCTTTAGCCACACTTGGACAGAAACTGACCACAAGTTATTACTCACACTTTTTCTGAAGCGCAGTTAGATTATCAGAGAGTATATGTGCCTGCTGATCTGTACCACAGTCGCTGCTATAGAAACCGCTGAAGTGAACTGTACAAAACAGTCAGAAAACACTCAGAGCGCAATTTCCTTGGCCCTGAAAGTGGTCACTTTGCAAAATAAAAACAAACCTCTTTCTCAGAACATAATCAGGGGGCCCTACTCCCACCCCCCAGGCCTTCTCTTCAGAGAATACAATAATAAAACCAGAACAGTTATGTTTTCTTATCGTAGACTTCCAAAACAGACATGGTAATCCTTAAAAATATAAGACACAGTGGTCCTAGTGTTGCAGGTAGCTAAAAAACCTGAACTTTTGAAAAGCATATGCTTCTCATTCTGAGAAAGTTCTTCATTCTGTCTCTTAAATGTGATATTTGATTCTTTCAAATGTGTAGCTAATTAAATGCAGACACATATCTTGTTTGGCTTACATATGTCAGATACTGTGAAGTATGCAAAAGAAATAAAAAGTAAATATGTTGTTCTTTTATCGTCGCCTTAGTGGACTGTTTTGGCATTTAAAAAAAAAATCAGCTTACACATACAGAAACTTTTAAGGACATTAATGGTGTTTTATGTCTTCTGTAAGTTTTTAAAACATTTTTTGTGGCTGAAACATTGACGTTTTATTTTCCCCTCGGACAATAGAGAGAACACAATAAAATGAGAAAATCACGGGATTCTGGGATTCTACAGTCAAATAGAGGGTTATGTGGGGCAAATAACCTCTGTGAGCTATCTATTCACCACGTTGTGTTAAACTAACACCGAGGTTCAGGACTTTCACCGAGCCCTCGTGGCAGACACAACATTTGGCATCTTTCCCACCAAAAAGCACCGCTGTTGACCACCCTCCGTGAATCCAACCTTTGCTAAGTAGCACATCATTAAGCGGGGATGGGCCCGTCATTAAAAACACATTCACCTCCGAATACCTGAGATTCCGATGTTAAACATTTTCACATTTTCAAAACATCGCAAAAGGGCGAAAGGCAATGCAGAACTCGGAGAAGAGGGAGAGGAGTAAGCGGGCAACAGTAGCACCTTGCAGAGGGAGGGTGAAAGTGGTATTTTTTCCATGCGAAGCGTTTTCAATGAAAATCTCCGTTGGTGTTCCTGATATAACATAACCAGCTGTCAATCCTCTTATCTCTTGAAATCTATGGAAAACCCAAACAAACTGTGCTTCAAGAAGAATCAAACTCTGATTATTATTAAAGGCTACTATTAGAATACATTCATTAATGCATACTTCTTCATATCAGATAGGCGTCTGTGTTTACCGCGGATTTGAACACTCTAAGAATACGAATGCGCATAAGAAGACTTTCACACCTACTAAGACAGGCTACTACACAAGCAAATAATGGCTTTATAACCGTAAAGGCGTTTAGTTATTCTTCGTAGCTAATTAGTAGCCATATGTTAACTTTAAATTAGGTCATTTCAGTTGTCGCCCGAATCTTACTGCTTCATCCGTTTCCCATTGAAACGTCATGAATGGTTACATAGTACGCATTTGTTTTTCAATGTTTTGGATTTTCAGTACCTAACAAAAAACAAAAATACTCAAAGTGACAACTGTTTGTTACATTTGATAATGAACTTCACCACAGCTTGCGCCAGCACACACTTTTAATGTTGTCAAGTGACCGCGCTAGGTGTTACGGTGTCCCGCAAAAACAACATCCCGACTCGCACCCGTCCCGGTGGCCAACGGCGAAATATCTTTTTTGCACAAATGACGAGAAATGATTTAAGCCCCCATGGTTTGATTCTTCTCGGCTAAAGCGACGAACACAGCACATCGGACCCATGCACTACGCGAGGAACGTGGAAGCCTCCGACGAGAAAAAAAAAGTAATACATTCCGTCTAGCAGGAAGAGCTGAAGTTCTGCACTGCGGTGCAGTATTGTTATTTAGTTAGGAACATTTCTTGATACGACTAAAAAAGCATTAGTCACATACATTTCGTGAATTAAGCTTCAGGTGAACATTTGGGCGCACTCGATCGGTATAATCGGACCAAGCTGTCCCGTAAACCCCGTACGGCTCCATGCACACCAACACGCAGCTCCCTGTCACAGCCCTTCAGTGCAAAAGGTCCGAGCATTTAACACGCCGAAACTTACCCTTGAGGCTTTCCTCTTGTATTTGTTCGCGAAGTCGAATTTCTCTTTAATTTCGTCTAAAAGCTGCCCGAGGCGCGCCTTCTCCTCTTTGCCCGTGTAATCCTGGCTGAGGAGGATGTATGCCCTCCAATTGGCGGAGTCGAAACCCCAGTGGCATGTCCTGTTTTCCAAGGATTTGTGACTGTGGACCACGAACTTGTGGGTCGGGTACATGAGCCTACAGTCCATGCACTGTATACAGGCTGCGTTCGGGCTCGTGTACAGCTCGGGCACGAAAAGTCCCCTGCACTTCCCGAAGCACTCGTGGTATACCTTGAAGCTTTTCTCCGTCAGCTCCAGCTCCAGGGAGCCGGAGAACTCCTTTTTGCAGTGCGGTGGAAAGGTACCCCCGTAAATCAGGGCATTACAGAGGCGCTCCGCATCCGTTTTGGTGATGAGGCCGCACGAAGGTGCCGAGAAGGGCAAAATCCCCATGACTTTAAGAATCTCCAGCTGGTCCGCCGTGCACCTGGAGCAGTAGATGTGGAGCTCGTCACACACGGAGTTGATCTGCTGAAGGGAGAAATCTCGCAGGACGGTGTTGAGGATCTGGGGCAGACAGAGCCGCTTCTCTCCGCCGACTACGAAACAAGAGATAGTCTCACTCTCCAGGACCGTCTCGCACCTTTCCGTGGAGCGGTCTGACGGGATGAAGAGGGGACCCGGCATCACAGGGGGCGGCTGCATAGGGAGATGAAGGACCGGCTCTGGGTCCTTGCCATCTTTCTTGTACAGCATATCCTGTTGCCATCTAGCTGAGAAGGCTGCCGGGCCGCCGAGAGAGCTCATAGAACTCAGATGAAACTGCTTCAGAGTTTGTTGCAGTCCTGGATGAGGTTGAAAGCTTGGTCGGGTTACAGTCTCCATGTTTTACTTACTACTTGAAAAGCGAAACTTCCTTTTGCCGGGGTAGAACTAAAGCAATAGATAACCCACACTGGTCCCGGTTCCTTGTAAATCCAAGGTCTCCCAGAGTTAGCAGAGGTGAAAAGGCGCTTCATCAAACATCCAGAAAGAAGTCCTACACAGTGCGCGTCCAATCCCCCGACTAAGCGTACGGTAACACCGGCGAGTCTTCCCCTGCAGTAGTAGGTTCCCTACTGTCCATATCCACACCAGTGCTTCTTTCTCAATCCACAATAAAGAAAAAAATAAGCGCCTCTCGCTTCCACAAAAAGTATCCACCTATACTTCTGAACTTTGTTTTTCAGAATTTCCCAAAACTGTAAAGTCCGTACACTCTTTGCCTCTCTTTTTCGTTTCTGTTTTGCAGTGGTAGAATTCACATCCACACTGTCTGCCCTTGCAGTAATGATATGCCTGTGCAACTACAGCCAGCCAGCCAACCTAGCTAGGCTTGCTTGCTCACTCTCTCTCTCTCTCCCTCTCCCTCGCAGCCCCCCTTTCTCAGTGTTTGTGTGTGTCTGGCTCAGTCATTGAATCCCAGCCAAGTATGTGACTGACTCCCCAGGCTGGCTCTTCCAAGAACATGTCGTCACTCCCCCTCTTCTCTTCTCAGCCCCGTGCTGCTGCAAAAGGAAGGAAAAAAAAGAGACTTGAGCACAGGGCATGGTGAATCACTTGGTTCACAGCTCAGAATGTCTGCAGCTAAACCGAGAGGAAGGGTGGAGTTTGCAACAGACGTCTAATTTAGACGTTAAGGAGAAATGCAAATTCTACGAGTGACTGCGGTTTATTTATTTTTATTTAAATAGACCAAAGTAGTCCTTTACAAACATTTAGTGACAGAAAGTAAAGCAATAAAGTCTGATGTTTGTCACATACAAGAATTTTATTTTTTTTAAAGTCGTGCTTACATATTTTTTTTCGTTTTGTTTAATCAGTTCCAGTGCTCAGTAGGTTATATGTTCAAAGCGCTCTTAAACATTAAGGACACACGCGTGTAACGCAGAGGGGGAATCTTGGCCGATTTTTGTTTAATATTTTTTGCACGAGGCTGCTCCACCAATTTTCCACATCTTCTAGGTCTGCTAGTTCTGAACAAACCATTTTATTTAGTTGCAAAGTCCCTTCATGATGATCATGGTAAACTACGGGGGCTCATTTTGATCTTCAGGGCTTCATGAACCCCTGGCTTTTTTCAGACCCCTCGAATCTGAACACAGACCAGACAGTGCAGCAAAACACAAGGCGTATCAGCGTTTTTACATTCAAGGAAAACAGAGATTTTATTTCTGGATGTCTGTGCTTAGTGTGTACTGCAGTCTCAGCATGCACTTGCCCTATCGGACTGTAAACTGCAAATGCATTTGCACTCAAGGCATGTCTAACAATACTTTCCTTGCGGAGATTCTCCTTTGCTCCAGAGATTCTTCCAAAATGCTCCTGCAAAAAGCCACAAATAGAGCCGGAGTTCACAGAAAACCCTGTCTTGCCCCAGAGCTCCTATATGTGGTTGCAGGGAACAGAACTTTTTTGAGGTGGCACACCTTTGACTTCAACTGCCCTGGACTAACCATTCCTGATGACTTCTGATCATCACGGGGGGGCATGGAAATGATTCCCTGATATCAACAGCTGTTGACCATTCCGAAAAGGAGAAAGGATGCCTGCCTTTCTTCAAATCAGAGTGAAGAATGTAACTTAAAACATAAGTCCCCCCACCTACCACAGCACACACACACATACACATGTATCTTCAAGGCCAGCTTAGGAACACACATGGACTCTAAACTTCTGAACCAGAGAATGAAAATGGTGGGTGTTTGCACTTTTATAAGACCAATCCACCCACACATTCCTATTCATCTGAAACCAAGAAGAATTTGTTTGACTAAATACCTCCTAAGTCCTTTAATGGCTTAAAGTTTGGTACAGTTCCTTAAAGAATTCTTTATTTTGGAAAGGGCCTGGTGTTATTGTTATCATGCTCCTCGTTCTTTTTTTTTTTTAAATTGAGTTCTCTGTTATTGTTCTTGCTTCTTTTATTGTGTCTCATGGCCCTCCCCAAGTAGAGTTATGAACACCATAGCTAAGGCAGTCACAATGTACATTGATATGTGTCGCCTTTTCTTACCCGTCCAGTTTTACGAGTTACACAAAAAGGGGGTCACAGCAAGCATGGTCAAATAAAGCCTTAGAGCTGAAAGGTTTAAAAACCTGGATTTTGTCAAAGACACACTCGACTACCTGGGTGGACTGGGTGATGGATCGTGTTCATGAACTGCCCCAGAACAACTTGATTCAGGAGTTGCCCTTCCTGATGTGCTGATTATTGCAGTGGGGGGCTAATCTTATAATTAAATAGCATTTCTAGTGCTGTTTCATTTAAAGGATATGATTACACAAAAATACAAAACCGTGTCATCTCAGGATTTTTTCTTGGTTTTTAGGTATACCTTTATCACTTGAAAAGATTTTTATGCAATTAACAAGTGCTGCTATTTCTCAGATGAATGTAATCAATTTCAAAACTTTATGTGATAGTAATACATTAGAGTACATGTTCTGAGCTTTATTAAATCTACAATGTACAATTAAGGGAAATAATTAATACTGAACACATTCACACTTATAGCCTATTTTGTGCATGTGTTACCAAAAAAAACATGTAGAACATTTCTTTCAATTAATATTTTTAATGAAATAAAAGTGTTAAAGAGTTTGTAAGAAAAGTATTACCTTTTAATTAGATTTTAAAGCTTCACAACAACAAAACCATAAAAATGTCTGAGAAAAAATGCATTCCAATTTCCTCTATGCAGTGAAATCATTCCTTTCAGCCAGTTACACTGGAAATATGTCCAATTGTCAGAGACAATAAGTGGGATTGAGAAGCTAAACTGATTATTCTGTATCATTAGCTCCCTCTAGCAGGACAGTGATGTAATTGCACTGTCTGTGGCACTGGGACACAGTCATTATGAGGAAATGGGGTCACCATGTCTAGTCAGGAAATACAGAGTGGGAGGAGTATATGGAGACAGATCCATATTGTAGTAGCACAGTAGGTTGATAAGGTACATTTATTTTTTATCAGGAACATTTTGTTGAGCTTCAAATGAAAATGCGCCTGTATAAATTCAAGTCATGTTTTGCCAGATTTGTCTTTTTCGGATATTTCAGGTGACACTGCTAAGCACTGCGCCATCATGCTGCCCCAAAATGAATATTAGTATTATTGATTTTTGTTACGATTGTACTGTTTTCACACATCCATATATAAATGATTGAGATAGCACATTTTATTGGGCGAAATAGTACATATTTCAGCTAAAGATTCTCATGACATTGTTTCTCATAACAAGATGTAAGTCACCACATGTTAATTTGTTCCTTCATTTAGTGATTACAATGTGCTTGAAAATGGTATTTTTATTAACATTGCACATGGAAGGCAACAGCAATAAAAACAAGCTTTGCAACCTCGTGGAATTTTTCATTTCATAAAGTGTACATTATTATGAAAATACTAAGAGAGACATACCCAGCAGAACACTGGGATTCACAATTCTCACATATCCTTTCACGAAAAGATAAACCCCTAATGGATAAGAAGAGTTAGAATCAGAAAAACCTCTGTTGCTTGGGACCACAACTTCAAACCAACTGGGGGGAAAATCCAAGCTGATATCTGTGGAGACTTCACATCTAAAATCTCGGATGTATTGCTTGATTCACATGAACTCATCACCCGCGAATAATACCCGTCAGCAATTATTATTAAAGGAGTGGGTTTCTTCACAGCAGTATATATATAGTAGGTCCCTGCTGAATGGATTTTATTAAAGAGAAAATAAATCCTGGTCAAAGCAACTATCATATTTTCTTCCTTTGTTCTTTTATCCGATATTTTATTGAAAACATCAAATGGCCTCCAAGCATTGTGTAAAACCGATGCAGAAGTGCTCCCAATTACTTAATAGAGGATAGTTTCTTGAATTGGAGCAAAGGAATAATTTTCCTGATGATAATGGTGATAATATTGTATGTTTCCCAAGGATCTAATGGGTCTTTACAGGCAGAAGAGGACTGTATCCACCACAGAAGTGTAGCTATCCCCTGTTAAATGGCAGCCAATTGACAGAGTTCCAACAAATTTATTAGCCAATTAAATCACATGTGGAAATTTAAGGGGTCGGGAATACAAAGATACTAGTATACGGATATCAAAAGCACCAGCTCTAGGCATTGAAATATCAAAGAACATAAGTTTATTAGTAAGGTTATAAATGAGAGGAGGCCATTTAGCACTTCGTTTCATTTGGTTGATATCAGTTAATTGACCCAAGGATCACTTTTGGGCTTTTCTTTGATGAAGCCACGTTATCAGCTTTGTCAGCCCTTCTGGGTTGCTTTTTCCAAATGTCCATATACAAAACATGTCCTCTATTCTCAGTTTTAAACACACATTCCCTGTGTGTTCCAAATGTTCCACTGTTGATTCTGAAGAAGTCCATTCAGTTGACTTTATCAATGTTTTTGAGAATAAAAATAGGGTTCCCCCATAGTCCACTCTGCTCACCACTAAAATGATGAACTTCTCTTACCCTGTCAGTATAGAACAATCCACACTAGAATACATGGGAATGTATTTGGTTGCACATCTCTGGACTGATTCCCAAGCAGAAATATCCCAGCTCTTCCAATTAATTCTTCTTCATTTAATTAATCATGGCGAAACTTCACCAAATACACCACAAATGTCTAAATACACCACATTGTTGTTTGTATCCATTAAAGCTGTTGTCTGTTGTGAAAACTCTTAACAGGATCTTGTTAAGCAAGATCTTTCTTTAAAAAATCCTCTTTCCTATCTAAAATTCTATTGCAATGAAGACGTTTGATCTAATAGTTTCTGTAACCTTACATCTAATAGAAGTTAAGGCTTATTGGTCTATAATTACTTGATTCAATTTTTATTACTCTTTTTATGCATGGATGCTGTATTAGCAATTTTCCAGTTAATGAATATTATACTATGTCTGTCTCGAGTGACTGTTGGTGTTTTTTTAACAGCAACATCTTTGTTCAGAAGTACAAATTGGGGAATACCATTAATTTCTAGAGAAATATTAAATGAGTGAAGTTCTCATTTTATACATAGTTTATTTCCCTGGCATTGTCTAACGTTGTTTTGCTGCAATTGTACTGAAAACTCTCCGCTGCAATATTCTTTTCTATCAGTCTCTTGACCTTTCTACCATTTTAAAGCTGTTTGGAGTTCATTACATTACTTTTCTTTAACCAGATACTGCGATTTTTAATTACTTTATACAGATCTTTCTTTCCCCTTATATTTTTCTTAACTGATTTCGTAATCCATTTGGGTCACTGCTTACAAGACTTTGATTTACATACTAATGAGACGTGTTATGTGCTTCAAGCAGAAATCCTAATGTTGCCATCCATTATCTACTGATTCCTTCCCTAATCCCATCTACGTCTCTAAAAGCTCTGTC